CAAAATCCTCCTCTCTGCCTGTGATACAATTACCTTACACAATGGGTAATGTAATTATCACCGGCAGAGAAATACAGTTTTTTCACATTATTCATAACTTGAAAAGTATGCATCACATTCACAGAATCAGAATACTCCAAATACAAACATATGTCAAAATCATCCAAATTGGTCCATTGGTTTAAAAGATAGATCGAAGTCCTTTGTGACCAAATGAAGCATGGCTTTTCTGCCCAAAACCAGTTCCACAGAGTCTTCTATCCTGGAACTAATTGGGAAGTAATCCAATTATCTCCAAGGACAGAGGCAAAACTCCATTGAACACATGGCAGCAAAAGACAATAAAACACATCAAAATATATAACTGTGCAGCCATTGCACAAAACAGGTACATTCAACATATCCCCATATAGCTCAGATCTGAGCGCACATTATTACTGAATGGCACTCAGAGCACACACATACAGTTCAATTGCCATGGAGCCAAAGTCTTTCCCATAGTCTTTCATTATACGAATGGCATAGCTATCTGGGGTATCGCCGCTCAAACAGGGCCAGCACCGAATTACCCGACTTTCGTGTCTTTGCAGGGGAAAATCAAGCGTTTCAACATGGGGCCATTGTCTAAAGGCAGCAGGTGGGCAACCAGGCTCCTCCAATGCACAGTGGCAAGATTGGTCTCGTCACACGTGGGATAACAGTAGTCCGTGACTATCTCTTTGGGAGCATACCTGGTCACCTGAACCCTGCCCACTCAGGGACTCTTGGACTCATTCGACTGCTCTACTGGACTGAGTGCCACTACCTAGGTGTGCGGTACCCCTGATCCATGGGTGGAGAAGGGAATCACTACCCCCCGACACTCATTCCTATGATCCGCCTTGGGAGGCGATACCATACCATACCTGGGCTCCTTACCTTTTCAAGTGCACTTTTTCTTCTTGTTTTTCTACCTCTCCCTCACCTCTGCCCTCTACCTCTTGACCCCGTTCCCTCTCTCCCTCTTCCCTGCCCATAACTGCCCCTGAGCCCTGGACAGACGCGACCACATACACATGCTAAGACCTCATAGTACTCGCCATGTTGCTGGCACCGGCCCCGATCAAAATACTCTTGCTTAAAGCAAGGGGGCTGAACAAGCTGGAGAAGCAGTCGGGGGCTCTTCGGGATTTTTGGGACAATATGGCCTTGATTGTGTTTCTACAGGAAACTCATTTTAAGGACGGGACAGACCCAAGCTGACGAACCATCACTATCCCACAGGCTACTATAGCGACTACCAGGGAGGGAAATCTCAGGGCACAGTCATTCTCCTAAACAGATGAGTCCCATTTTCAGAAAGGGGTGTCCTGACTGACCCAGACGGACATTTTCTGTTCCTCAAGGGAATGATAGCGGACACGGTCTACACTTTTGCCAACATTTATTCCCCTAATCAGAGGCAATATAGATTCCTTACCCGTGCACTCCGCGCCCTCACGCGCTTCGCTGAAGGGGTGCTGATCATGGGGGGAGACCTTAACGTAACCCTAGACCCTAGGTGGGACTCCTTATTGGGATAGTCGCATGTCCCCACACAACACACGCTATCACAATCGTTGATTACTGGAGGGCATTCCACCCGGATGAAAAAGATTATACCTTTTTCTCCCATCCTCACAACTCGTACACACAAATTGACTACCTCTTTATGTCACACTATCACCTGCATCTGGTGCTCTAAGCTGAGCATGGCACAGCGACTTGGTCAGACCATGCACCAGTGACCA